CTCTAATCTGTTAACAGCCTGTACCCTTGCAAGAAAATGGAAACAGAAACATTACCAGACTGATGAAAAGTTAATACCATTCTAAAGAAAGGGTATTTTCTGAAGAATCAGAAGAAAATTATTCCTCTGAAAGATATTTACTGATTTTTATGTGGGAAATCATCTGAAAGCAGTGATTCTTTCTAGACATATCACTAAGCAAATTACAGTAGAAGGTAGAGGTCACAGAACATAAATGGTATGAGACCTCAGACCACCTGTGCCATCCTGATACAACTGTTTGTTCTAGAGAACTCTGGCCCAGGGAGATAAGATTATAAATCAGTAAATTTTCCTATTTCTTCAGAGAATTTCTGCAAACCAGTTTTGTCCAGGTAAATACTTTACTCATTTGGATAAACAGCTCTCCTATTAGGACAACAGATAGCTGACTTGGACAAACGACTTCCTTATCCTTCAACAGTTTACTCATCAAAAAACCTTGCTATGTCCACCAATCCCAAATTATTGTGTTAAAAATGTTACAGTAGGAACCTGCCATGAAAGACTTGCTCTAAACCTCATAAGGCCAGTCCCTAAACCCTACAAATACTTTTTCCTGGAAATCTCCCTTCTGATATACTCCTAAGACTTTCATGGGGTTGCTCTCCCTTATTACAATAACTCTAATAAACTTAACTTTGCTTGATCAACAGGTTTTTCTGATGTTCCTTTGAGGAACTGACATTGACAATCCTGGACATACAAGAAAATCTGATTGAGACCCTCAGCTCTGAAATCACGTGGACCCTTGAGACTTCTTGAACTTCATGTTCAGGGGTCTTTCCCTCTGCAGTAATCAGGTAGGTCTTGCATTGGTGCTCAGGTCCAATAGATTTACTTGAAGCCCTCTAAAACTGAATTTATTGTGTGCTCTGGGAATGAGGATTCCTCTTAGGAATCCTTTGGCTTTCTGATCAGATTTGAAAACTCACATTTAAAAGAAAACCTAGCTTATTTATAACACAATGTTTGGGTTCTTTTTTCTGGTCTTGTCACATTTTGTTGCGAGTCTGTAAGAGAAAATTCAGAGGGGAAAGGATTAGCATAGGTTCAGTAGTTTGTCTCTCAGTGCATCCCTGAGAGCTGACAAGTTCAGAAGTTCTCATCAGGCCCACATCCTTATAGGACCAACGTTGCCTTGGGCTGCCTGTTCATACTTAATAAGACTGTTCCTCCATCTGGTCTTTGTTTCTTTGATAATCACTCAATTTTTTTCCATCTTTTTAAATCAAAACTTGTTACTTCACAGTAAAAAAACAAACAAAAAAATCCCAACATAATTCTGGGAATTAACTTTTCTATCATGCAGAAATCTACAAGGTAATGTAAACTTTACATTGTCTGGGCTCTAATCAAGATTAAAGAGAATGGTAAAACACAGACAGAAGTGCCAGTTTAATTTTCTTAAGGAAAAATAATCCTCAGACGTTTTCATTAAATTATGATCCACTGTGACATCGAAAATATATGCTATACCCTCTTGGCTTTATTTCCAAGTTTTGGATGATTTTCCATAAACTATGAAT